TGAACTGATTTCGGTTTAAGAGAGAGCCCCCTTTTTTCGTTGTTGATTTGCTGAACTGATTTAGGCGAGTCCCTTTTTTTTTCTGAATTGCTGAACTGATCTTGGCCTGAGAGAGAAGCAAAAGAAATCTGTGATGTCATGATGTAAGCTGCTGTTAGTTAAGAGAATTTTGTCTTTTCCTCATTCCTCCCCGCCACTCCTATGCTCCTTTTAGTCATACTGTTGTCGGCTGTCACAAACATAATTGTTACAATTTCAATTGTACTTTGTTGTATACTGATTCTGAATAAATTCTTTTATTTGACGCAGCCAACTCACGTTCTTGGAGCGTTTTCACTTGTGTGCTTGTCGTTTTTTCTGTTATATATAATATATATTTTTTCTTCAGTATTTCATTATTATTATTATAGTAGTATAACACGGATAGGTCGAACACAGAAGACTCGAACTCCTTTGTTCCTTCTTACTGCTGTCTTTCAACGGTACCCCTGGTTTTCTGGTAGGAAAGATCTGCACTAGCCTTCCCGGACAAGGGCGTAAAATCTCGGCGGTCCAGTGCAAGTTGTGCACGTTAAAGTTCCCTTGGTGGTCTAAAATCGATAAGAGTAGGCTTGGGCCGCCCCCGGGGCAAAATTCAAAATTTCCTTCCAACTGAAAATGATTAATGTGTTCCGCGCGCTCATATGACCTTATGTAGTTGCGAGCGTCGCAAAACACTTATATATATTTTTTTTAATAAAGAAAAAAAAAAAAGACTCGAAATCACGCCTTGGTCGAACTGTGCCTGCGGTCCCTTTTTTCTTCTTTATCTTTGAAAGATATCCCTCGAACTACAGAGGCCGGTCCCGACGAATTCGAACTATCTGTGTTATACTATACACACACACACACACACACACACACAAACACACACACACACGCACACACACACACACACGCATACACACACACACACACACACACACACACACACACACACTCTCATACAGACACATTACCATATTCTGTTGCACTGTAAAATTGTAAATGGGCTGATTCATCGATGTCATGCTCATAACTGTACCTGAATTGCAACAGGGAACTGCTGCTTTTTCTTTCCTCATCCTTACTATCATCAATTTTCCTCTACATCTTTCCTATGTTTGTCACACTCTTGTGACCCGCTATTTCCGGGGTGCCTTGATAGTCGAAGCACACTTTGTGCTGTTGAAGCTAGAGAGGTGAGCAGAGTAAGCCTGATTCCCTGTAAGGACTTCTCTGTTGACATCCATCCTTTGGCGCTCATATGACCTTATGCAGTTTTGAGGGCCGAAAAGAACTCAACTAAGATTAAAAAGGAAGTTGTTGCGGGACTGTACAGTTAGGAACCCACTACCTTACGGTTGCGAGTCCGAGAGCCTAACTACTAGACCACCGACGCCTCTCTCTAGAAGATGTGAGAAAATTTCTTTAGTAAGAACAAACCGCACGTGAGAGTGCTACACTTTGCTCGGTCAGCTCAGTTGATATCATGCTGGACTACGGAGAGCTCTGGTTCTTTTGTTTTCGTACCAGTTTTACGGCACTTGCAACACAATGAGGTCATATAAGTGCCGAAGATTAGAGGTTTTACAAGAGAGTTACAAACATAAAAAAGAAGGAGGAAAGATAAAGATGATAGGTGTTTGAAAGGAAAGAAGAAGCAAACCACACTAGAGCACCCGCCAACCTACCACTGGCTCTGGTTCGAATTCCCGACAGATCGTTCTTGAACAAAGGGGTTTTCATGGCTCTCTGACCGTCTGGATAGAGCCTATCGGAGACAGACGCTACATTCGGAGCTCCGGCCTCTCAGATAACTACGTTATGGTATAGTGTTGATAGTGGACAGGGCCATTGGTTAAACCCGAAAACGGGGGCTTCATGGTCTAGAGATTATGGTCTTCGCCTTTCACTCTTTACCAAAACAAACAAAACAAAATAAAATAAACCAAAAAAAAGCAAAACAAAAGACCCACAGGAATTTTTTGCTCAAACATACAAAACATTTTAATAAATAATATACCAGGAAACTTTACCAAAACAAAACAACCCACAGGAAATCTTTGGTCAGACACACAGTAAACCTTTAATGATGTACCAGGAAACTTTACCAAAACAAAGCAAAGAAAAACAAAACAAAACAAAGTAAAGAAGAACAAAACATCCACAGGAAACCTTTGTGAAGCGCAGACAATGTGAAACACGCATAAAGTAACGACATGAACGTCGTATAGGTGCATGTATAAGAACTAGTACAAACTGAAATGTATTACAGTTACACACACACACACACACACACACACACACACACACACACACACACACACA